GTCCTACCTCGGGCATGCATCTTGGGACTGACTGATGACGACAAATTGGCCACAAACGGCCCTTCCAGTGCCCTTGCCATTATCGGTAAAAAGTATCAGCCATTGATTGATAGTCTCCATTCGGCCGCCCTCCAAGGCAAAGTGGGAGTGCTCATTTTCGTCCTGAAGTTATGGTAGGTATGCGCACTCCAAGTATGTGTGAAAAAGCTATTCCTCGCCTCTTCCTCTCCCTTAACGGTGGTTTTGGCGTCGCGAGAGTCGGTCGGAGGTACTCCATTCTTGTGTGTTCGTATCATCGCTTCTGCTCCCCATTGGCTTTAAAGACAGCTGCCTTCGCTTTTACGGCAGATCTCCATGTTTGACGGTCTTGCGTAAAAGCCTCCCAGCACTTGGCTAATTTCCAGATATTTAAATGAGCTCTTGGAGTCCTTGATCACTTTTGTTCACCTGCCCATGACTACCGGTAGCTTAAGCAACTGTTTATCGGTCATCTCCATGACGTCGTCGTTCCATGGGGATAAAATCTGCTTCGACATAGCATAAATGCTGGGCACACCGGTCGTTTTCAAGACCTGGATGTTTTATATCCTTTCCTGTCTCTTCAACTTTAGTGTATTTTGGAGACATCCCAGGTAAAAGTGGTTCACCTTCAGCCAGTCGAGAAGGACGCGAACAAGAATTTTTGCCAGAAATACTGAAAAAGAAGATGTCACGAGGACAATGGTACATTGGCCGGGTTCGCACCCAAAGTGCTCGCCTGTCCGTGCTTACGAAAAGGGAGTCCTTGCCGACTGTCCTAGTAGTCGAAAGTTCACTGTCGGGTAGGGCATAGGATCGGGTACTATTTCTGACTTTTTGGAGCGCGTTTATAGCGCACAACAGCCACGACCAGCTGTGTAGATGCCTGAACATCCCAAGCAGCTGTCACATTCACTGTCAGCCACTAAAATTTTAACAGCTAAATCGTGGGGAGAGTTATAGAAATCCAGGCTATTACGAGTCCTCTGTTCACCATAACGTAGGTATTGGCTAAAAATTCGGGTTCATGCATCCTGTTCTCTACTGTTCGGCTCATCATCAGCTCCTTATGTTTCTTGGTGTATGGTCACTCTATTTTTTACACTTTGGAATGTTACATTGTGGACTACTCATTACTTTAAAGTACCCTTTAAAAATGGCTTTTTGGTCATTTTCGCCAAGCCTTCGCGACTTCTGCCCCCATTGTCACATTTTGTGGGCTATACCCAGGATCATACATACAGCAACTAGAGAACAGGGACATATTATACCGAGAACTAATAGGTTAACTAATTCTCCTTTCGCCTGCTTCGTGTAAGCTACAAAGCAACCGGCCCCTCCTGAATTGTATTTGCGATACGGCCTGGTAGTATGCAGTGTGTGTCGAAGATGGTTTATTTCATATTCGCCTTCAATAACTGTTCTTCCTGGTATTAATTTAATAAAATGCCATCTGGTCCTTGTAGAAAAAGGATGGATGCAACAAGATGCAATGTACCGTCTGCCAGGCCCTTTTTTGTTGGCTCTGTCTCGCCCGATTGGAAGGCGTAGGCTACGGTCACTTCTCCAGAGGACGGTGTGCTGAGAAACTTTTCACGCCACACGAAATCGATGAGATTCCTCAGAACTTGTAGCAGGCCTAATAACAGCTTACTTTATGGACGTTGAATGCTGCCTGACAGTCTTACGTGCTTTTTTACTTTATCTCCTTTTTCTTACAAATGCATTATATTTGACGAGTTTTCTTCTATTCGGGCACGTGGGTTTGCCGCTAATGCTGGCGTGGGTACAGTTACAAACTTTGCGAGTCTGGCCTAAGCTTTGCTGATATAGCGGTGTTACTTGCCTGTCAGCGATTTTGGCATGCTAACGGACAGCAGTCGATTTAGTTTTCGTTAGGATTACTGACCTCCTAGTCCTTAATTCCGGACAGAGTAATACTGCCTCTTCCCAACTTTCTCGTGTAAGCTCTCTTTGGACAACTCAAGAGGCCTACCGCCTCCTACTGTTCTTGTATCTTCGCAGGACATTCTCGTGTTTGTCATCCAGTTATCCGCCACGGAGCACTGGGGACCCAGCCACCTGTCCACTGTTTTAGCAGTGAGATAACTGTTCGATAATCTGGTCCATGAGCGTTAACCACTACAACCGTGTATTTGGTGCCGATGCCTACTTCCCGCAGGTACCATTGAGTCAAGAATGTCAAAATTAGTGTTTTTTGATTGTCATGTGGGCAGCTCGGTGTTTATCGACAGGAGTATAGAAATTCACGCGTGGGAGAGGGAGTAGCGGCACCTGTCCCTCTGATATCCTGGCTTGGCCGAGTTCAGCCTGGCAGGTGGCTGCTTACCTGTGACCTCTACCACTCGTCACGAGTTTGTTTGCCATGGGATGCCAGTGGTATGGCGTGAGCCCATTCCTGCATGACTCGCCGGTGTATATTCGTGATTGAGGTGTCGTACAATAGAGGATGACTGGCATTCTTCCGTGTGCTTGCTGGAGCGGTTGAGAATGTGGACCAGTCTGGTCCGTATGCAGTTTGCAATGATTAATCCGAGCGACTGTATACATGCTGTCACCTGTTCTTTGTGTGACTCCACTGACCACCGAACGCTAGTGGAGAGCGTAAGCCACGACTTTTTGTTTGGGTCGCTGGAGACTAACAGTCCTTGAAATACTTTATTCCAATTTGAGCTGTGAAGGTCCAGAACTGGGGGTTGATAGTGTCAAACTACCCGGTGGGAAGTTGCCCAAATATTCAGCTTGGTGTTGGGGTCTGTGGTGAAAATGGTAGCGGAGGTCCTCTAAGATCAGACCCATTTAACGAATATCACCATGAGAATAATTGACAATCAGTGCTTTACAGTGAGTAAATGAGTACCGGAGGTAGTACACGCACCTCAAGAGGCAGTTCCTGAGAAAGCCGTTGACAGGACCCGGTGCTGAGAGTAAGGGATCTAGTACGAAGTGGCTATATTGGAGGCGCTGATATCCTGATAAAAAAAACCAGTTTTGTACGTAACAGAGGAAGGGATGAAAGTACTCTGGGTTGGGGTAGTGTGTTTGTGGACGGCGTGCGATCCTCTGTCGAACACGTGCAGAGTGCGACCGATGCTGTGACTTCTGGGCTCACAACGTTCCGGTGTCCAGCCGATCACGAAAACTATGACGCCAAAATTGGGTTCGGTAATGGGGAGGCCTGCCTGTTTGATTGGTTTATAGCTACTCCGTGTGTCTTCGGGTGACGGAGATTGCCTTGCCGTCGTAAATTTATGGCAGTCCACTATAGAGCTCTGCAGGCAGAAATCTGGTTTCGCTTTGTAGCTTGATCCGAGGAATGAACCAACGGAGATTACCCTCATTGAACGTTATAGTCTACGGATTCTTGGGTCAGCCGAGCGGCGCACAGCTACCTGAAAGAGTCCAGATAGCTGTTGTCGGAACCGGTAGTAATAATGCCTTTCGCCAAGTCTGCCAAATTATGCACTCACACACTAACATTGTTACTAGGATAATTTAGTGTGAGGAATTCATCGCTTACTATTTTTTACGTTTGATACATTATTCGGTTGGGCATAAGAATAAGTACTCCCCCTATTATAAGTGGCCTTGTGCTACGTTCCAGGCAAGTACCCATTCCCCTGTCCTAAATTTAGTCCTAACGCTAGTCTTAAATCGAACCCTAAAACTCGAAAATAATCACAATAGTAAGCTTAACCTTCCCAGCCTTCCCAGGCCTAACCTCCATCCGATTTCCCCTTATCTAATCGGATGTGACTGTCCCTACGCTCTATTTTATACCACTCCCCCGACTCTTATTAACTTCATGGCCACCTACATGAAATTTCGGTAGAGGGCGTTAAATGCATTAATATAACATATCAAACATTTCGGATTGGGGCAGCCTTCGGAAAACAAGCAGCTCGCGCATTCACAGAACGTATATTGTTAGGCAGAGCCTAGCGAACCACGCCAATCGCTGCTGGGGTAATATTGACACTCCAGCCTGTGCCACACGTTGCATCCTCCACGGGTTCATTTCGATTTTGATTCGTGACCCTGTTGGTTATCCGGGTGGATCCTCTACATTTTACCATAGCGTTGGTCTCACACGGTGTCGGTTTACATCATGAACATAGCTCCAGGTCATCAGTTTGTAAAAAGCTATATGACACACACTTAGTCTACACGTGAATCTGGTCTCAGGCCTACTACAGGTATCAGTTCGGAAGCGGACCACTTATAAATAGGAATGTTGAGGAAAGTGACAAGCTTCTGACGACAATGCAGTGCTACCGCCTGTGTGCCAAAGCAGTATTTTTGCATGTCTATTGGAATTCCGCGTGCCATTGTAGCCCACTCTAATCAAAATAAAACCCACGTTTGAGGTCAGACATGTGATACAGCCAATTGTGACGCCTGATACTCTGCGCCGCAAGCCCCACATCAGCCAATGGAGTCCGGCCGAGCAAGCCGCCGAGCTATCGGTGTGCACCAGTTTATGCGCCGAGCCTGTGACCTGTCCATAAACAGTTCCGTCGTCCGAGAGAATCGCTCACGCTTCGGAATATGCGATCTACGAGAACCACAATCTGGACACTTGGTGGACTCCTTCTTGGAATGGCTCTAGGAGAAATTCAACCGAAGAAGACTTTCTCGGTATATTTTTCTAGCTTAATTTAGTTTTCCAAAACTTGAAAATAATGCTAAGTAATTTGCTTTTTGGTAATAAAAAACCCCACCGAAATGATGTTAGAATCATTACCCAGAAAGGGTTACTGGGAGCATAATATACTCAGGCTGACCGTGATGCGCCATTGGGATTTTCAACCACTCCTTATAAATCCAGATAAATAGGATTTGCACTTTGGTAAAACTTACTAGGAGACGCAAAATGAAAGATCTCGATCGTTTCCTTTCAGTTAAATTGTTTCTCGGTGCTTTAGTAAACTACCGCTTATTAAAGCGTACAAGAGCCAAAGTAGGAAAAACTTCTGCTGAAATTACTCCATTAACAGAACCTAAGAACAAGGCGGCGGTACATATCGAACAAAAGTGTAGAAAAACTGCAAAATCGTCTGACCCGTTATTATCAAAAACGAGGACTATCCTCAACCCGATATCAGTACTTTTGTGCCCAACGGAAACCTCAAACGGCATGCTTGACCCTTGATGTGAAGGAAATGTTGCAACCATTGACATTCGGCCGCCACAGAGAAAGATGAAGGAGACATCGGAGTTGTGACGTCATTCCTCTTACTCTTACTTCGGCGTTCTTTCCATTGCAAACTTAAGTGGATCATGTAATTAACTGTCCAAAGGAAAAGCATTTGGCAGTCCCTTCCCGAATGCTTGCCAGCTGAAGTCCGCTGTTGCGTGAGTCAGACCTAAACGATGGGAGCTAGGTGACCGAGGAGAACTAGTTTCGTCAACAACTTAGGTTATAAGAGTCCACTTCGAGGAAAATAAGAGCGAATGTTGTAGAAGTTTCTTGTCTTTTCTTAGAAGTACTGCGCCAGTTTGATTACAGTAAAGCTACACTTAGGTCGACCCTAATGTTGAATTACGGACGTCAGTCATTGGTCATTTGGTGCAGAAGATGCTTATTGTTGTCCAGCAACAGTCATGCTGAGGCCAAAATTGATTATTTTCCGACATAAACATTTGGAGCTGTTAAAAAATCAAAACAAAGGGCGATGTAGTGAACGCAACGGACCGTGAACGACTGACCTGTGAAGGCAGCTGGAGTTGGACGGTTAGGCCGACAAACGTATCTGCTTTCGATGGCACAGCGTAGGACTTTGTACCACCCTGCGTTGTGCGTAGCCTTCAAACGAAGTTTGGCAACAAAAAGTTGTGCTTATCAGGAAACAGCTGAATGTGCAAGAAGTGTTAGGACTCCTCGAGTTCTGAACCCAGCTGAGCGTAATGCCTGCGACACCCTAGTTGATTGCTCACAGCTGCTCTATGTTTCGTTCGTACCTGCGTCATAAACTCAGGACCCACTAGCTCGAAAATCCAAACCACAAGCATTGCGGCAATTCATCGTGTTGTCGTGCTGAGCTAGACCTTTAGATTGGAAGTCGAAGCAGATGCGATGGTCTTATGCCACGGTTCGTGTAGTAATTTGTATTCAACTTTTTTTTTCTGTAACCCTCGTTTAGGTTTGCGTCTACATTATCGTATGACTGCAAACTCTTTTTGCCGATATAAACGATGAAAATACGGAACCTACTCAGTCAGAAACATGTGGCCTGATCTCAAACAAGATCGAAGCGATGACAGCAGTCTCTAGAGAAAAAAATAAGCTCCTGACACGAGTATACGTGAGAAATGAATATAGATAACGTGCACAGCCGGCGGACGAGCATGTCACTGATATCCGAGCCAGTAGGACACTTGACAGGAAGTCAGGATTCGGTGTTTTTGTCTAATCCCAGGGCACACATTTTCTAACTGCTGAACTTTTATATTTCCACAGCATGTAGTAGGAAAAAAGGGTTTTGATGGTTTTGAGTTGTTTACTCGTTGACGCCCTCTGTTGCGACGAGCTAAAATTTCGGAACCAGATGGTTCCCGCTCTGGCCTTTTATAAAGGTAGCTGTGTGCCCTTAGTGGACTAAAATCACAGAAGGCATGACAAAGAGGAACCACGACGGCTGCGTGAACGGTCCACAGCTCCTCCTGAGTACTTGAGTCCCGTCAATCACGCATTCTTACGCAGACTGTTTAGCAAGAAACAGCGTTAAGATCTTCCCCGCCCCAGCAAACATATCCCGGTTTTGTCGGCTAATTTGTTGGAGTTGGAGATGATGTTAAAATGCAGGCTAGAGCTTACGGTGGGGGTTCGTGTTTAGTCTATGTGTTGAGGTTTCGGTTCATTGTTAGAGTTAGAGTGAAGGTAGAGTGACTGAGGTTAATTTCATGAGTCCATTCCTAATCATAGTCCTAAAACTAGTCATAACACCGCTTACCTAAGTCTTCTCCCCATAACTCAAAGGTCGTCGCCAAATCCAAATCCGAACTCTAAATATGAATCTTACTCTGACCTTAATCATAGCCTTGGCCGTTAATCTAATCTGTCTTCATCTTATACGGTTTTCGCTACTGGGGCATTGAATAAGCGATTTTTCCAGTCGCTTGATAAGGAGGCTGCTGAGTGTGCAAGGCTTTCTGCTCTGTGTGATCTTTATACACTCGACATTTCGAACTTTCATTGCAACCCGTTTTCTGAAGAGCAGAAAATTAATTGAGCATGTAGGATTTTTAGGAGCTCCCATTTCCATATTCAAATGCGGAGGCATTTCCCTTATTTCCAGCGATAAAGCGGAAGGTGGTAACGCGGGGCTCGGTAGACTGGTGTCTTTTCTGCAAACCTTGTCTGAGGTGATTACGCCATCATCATCATCATCATCATCATCATCATCATCATCATCATCATCATCATCATCATCATCATCATCATCATCATCATCATCATCATCATCATCATCATCATCATCATCATCATCATCATCATCATCATCATCATCATCATCATCATCATCGTCGTCATCATCATCACTGCCGGCAGTTCGACCATGGCTAACGATGGTACCCCCTATGCGTCCTACAACATGGTAGGTTCAGGGAGGTGACTCGTGCGTGAATTAATTTATAGTGCGAGCAGACTTCCGCATCATCTACCACACTTTATTCTCCCCCACCCACCTGACCTCGGCGCCAAGACGGAGTCAAGAAGACCGCGGGCGGAATCGGGCACAGTGACTACCAAGACTAAACACCCCACCTGCGCGGGCCACTCACGCCTGGTCATCACACAGAAGACCAGCGCTTCACATACACAAGGTGACTCGAATCCCAGCTGAGTGGGAGTACCATAGAGGCCACATTGAGAAGGAGTTCTCTCTTTAATTAGCAGTCTTCCAAACCAAGCCTTTTAACGCACCGTAATAACTTAAAGGCGCGAGAGATTGCTGATAGTGAGGAATGTGCGTCGAGTGTCGTGGAACGGAGTCCCCAGAGTCGACCTCACCAGTCCACTGCCCGAGTCGATCAGCTATCTGTTGGGGGGATTGGATTGAAGTGGTTGACAGAGCTAGTCAGCTAGTTAAATGACGAGACACACGAGCTGCCTCCCCCGCACGACACACAAGGTACCCACACAAAGGGGGGTGGGCTGCTCGGATCTCACACGCGTTAGAGTGCCGTAGAAGTCATACGGAGGGGGAGCCGGAGAGTACGCTCCCCACTTACGTGAGATGTGTCGATTCCATGCTTGTTTTGGAGGATATGGGACGGGTACGTGCGTGGCGTATGAAGTTTGGTCTGGAGTGGTTTACCGCAGATTTTAATGGAGGCGCATGTGGCCGAATAGGCTTATACGGTAACCGAATGTGCAAGAACAGCGCGAACTGCTGAGGCGAGGGCGACAGGTGCATGTTGGTGCTCCTTGAGCTGGTTTGCCAGTCTCAGTACGATGGATTGGCGACTGACCGACCAGGTCGATGCGTGAGGTGCATGTGCTGTGGTAATGCGGACAGGATAGGTTACTAGCTGTTGAGATGAACTACTACTACTCCTACTCCTACTACTACTACTACTACTACTACTACTACTACTACTACTACTACTACTACTACTATTACTACTACTACTACCACAAATGGGACGTTTAATTTTGGACATGACTTTTGCGTGAAAAGACTTATAATGGTTGCTATAAACAGGATTTTACGACACTTAAGCTCTTGCTGGCGTCACATCTAAAACCATACCACGTGCTACCATTTGCGTTGGGCCATTTACTTGCTTTATGTCTTTTCTACACGCGGTCAGACTATGCAAGGTCGTGTTTACGAAATGACCGGAAAATAAGTCACTACTTACCGAGATACATTCACGCGTAAACGATAGAGGATATGGTACTTGAATCATGCGCCAGGGTGGTCCAACAAGACGCTTTCCTTCCGCTATCAGCTAGAGTGACTGGTTAGCCCAGCAGTAATAGAAGAATGCCTCCTGGCAACAACTGCCTGTCCAGTCTCGGATCCGAAATCACTAATTTCTGGAGTAAAACTAGAGGTTTACCGACTATTCTGGCTTAGTAACTCATTCTAAACAGAGCATATACTATCGTAAAGAAGTCAAATATTTTCGTATTCTGGGAGGTATCATGTGCTAGGGCGACAGCAAAAGCATATTTCCAAAAAAGGACTTGTGCATTCCTAAAAGACCCTAAATCAGAACCTTCTTTCTGACTGGTAACAGCGTTCACTGATGCGTAGCGGCCAAGGCAATACATGTACTTTGAACGCCATAGGCATCGCGGCAAGTCTCGATTGGCTGGATAAGATGGAAGACGGCTGGCTGAATGAGGGATTTATTGTGTACAGAACCCTGAGGTGCTATCTCAGGCGGTAATGTCTTCTGGCTAGGCCAGGACGTGTACTGAGACTGTATAGGGTCATGCCTGCGGGCCAGAATGCCTGCAGTGACGACTGTTTTTATTTGCTTTGTTGAAGCAAGTTCAAATGTTTTGTGCCCAGGTGGCGTGCTACACTATAGGCGGGAAGGACCGGTGTGGTTGTCTGAATTCGCGTGTGCGCGTTACGGTCAGTCTGACTGTAAGGTCAGGGCGGCTGGAACCGCTCGCGGAGAAGGTGCAAAACAGGAGGGCGCTGTAAGAAGACGCGGAGCCGTCGACTACAAAGCATCCCGCAATTATGTCCTGATGTTTGAGAACAGCATACGGGACAGCCAGCCTGTTTAACGCACTTTTCACAAGACTACTCTCGAGTACTGCGCAATCAATGTCTGAAATCTGCCGACTTTGCTGGATCAATGCGCTGGTTTAGCTCATCGATGTCAGGGCGAACAATGTAGTCTTTGGGTTGGGCACAGGAATATGACCCACCCTCCCGGTATTACTGGTGGCCTTGCCTTAAATTCCAGGGAGGGGGGGGGGCAGGATTAGTGTTAAGACCAGGGTGTTAAGGTTGGTAGGGATAGTGTTAGGGTTAGGTGTAAAGTTTGGACAGGGGAACAGGTACCACGTGGAATTTAGTGCGAGGCCAACTATTGTACGAGTAATATATATTTCAGTGTTAGATCGTCCATACTTTTCCGCCGACTGGCCATATAAGCAGTAGCAGAATCAAAAAGACTTTAGGAGTCGCTAGAGCACAAACCCTTCAGCTCAGTCATAAAGAAGAGGTTTTCATGAATAAAAGGCAATCTTAGTTGGAGAATTCCATACATAGCAGTAGGCTTTTCGACTACCATGATACAAGTGTGATTCAAACTCACTGCTCCGGGGGAGGGGGGGGGGACTCGTATCTCAGGTGGCTATAGCATCGGACGTACCGAAACCTTCCCCTTGCTGTCGTGGATACGAACCCCACCGAGGTCGCCACGTTTTTCACAATTAGGCCGAAACAAATCTTAGCTACACTTTTTTTCAAAACTCACCATCAAACTAACTTTAGAGTATCACACGCTGTCGAAAAGGTCTTATGTCAAAAGAAAAGCTACCACGGACACCATGTTTGTGCAAAACGGTTCTTTGTTGTCCCTGACTTTATTATTCTTAGGTCGCTCCTCTTCATGTTTCTTCTCGTTATGTACGCTCACGTCTTCGTACTGACTGTCAGCATAAAGATGATAGTAGGAAGGATGAAATTTAGCATTGTAGTTGCCAGCAAACAACGACATTGAAAATACCCATCACGTTTTGCGCTTGCAGATGACAGGCCATCGTTTTCACTGTTTTTTAAAAAAATTGTTCGGTTTTCAATTGATACGCAGCTTTTCTGTCTGGTGAACAGCCTGTAATGCTTTAATGAAACAAAGGGGCTTCTCGCCCACTTAAAGAACTTGAGTTTACTAAAAACCTCTCTTTCGGAACTTGATGAGCTTCGTAAATGGAATTCGGTGGATAAATGCTAAAGAAGAAGTAGGGGCAGCGTCCATTCGGTTTGGATGTGCGATTTTCGCTCTTTGAATTTTAGCTATAAATCCACATTGTCGATTTATGGTAAAATTACACGACGCTCGCAGCCCTCCACCAGAAGGCCAGCCCATGCAGGAGCTCCCACAGTCACAATTATAGCCGGGTGCCGGGACGCCTTTAATAGGCAGCACCATAGAGTGTCCAAGATACAAAGTTTAGAAGTTTGAAACCACGATCCTTCTTTCGGCGATACAGCTAGGAGTGAAGTTAGGGTAACGCGGTTGTTGTCTTTGAGCTTAATAACCAAAGGATTGTTGAAGTAGCTCATTTATAAGATCAGACACAGTCCTCTGGAATCACAGTCAGCAGAAGTGCGTCCGAAGTTTCAAGGAGGTTGTTGGGAGTGCCTACACTCCCAAAAACAAGAGCCAACCAATCACTGGAGACCACGTGCGTTTGCTCTCTTTACAGCGCTGTCATCTTAATCGGGCGCCTTTCCATTGGCTACTCCCTTCTTCTCGAAGGTCATTCGGCCGAATGCCGGCGAATCACATGAGGGTGTCACCTTTCAGCTAGTCGTGACTTGCAGTGCTTTTCTGATACACTTTCCGTGGCCGGCCGTGTTTTTTTTGTCTGCTGCTTTGGTATAGGGGACAAGGGCCGAGTGCGTATACGCTCTACGGGATTTCAAGAACCAGGCGGGTCATAACAGAGGTTAACTTGTATTTCACTGCGATAGCGACATACGGAGCAGTTAGTTTCGGGACGCAAGCTCTTGAATTCTAGATCACCCCAACGGTAGCATACAGTGTAGTCTTGTCTCCAGAACTGAAGCCTTTGAGGTGAAGCCTGCCGCAGTTACTCACCGTGTACGGAACACGTTTAAGCGTTTGCTTAACTTCGAGCCGGTTGTTTATTTTACTGAAAACAACTGTAACGAGATATGATGTCAACGTCCGTGCGCCGATCATTTAAAGATAACCGTCGGAGACCTGCGACACAGGTAAGATCTTTAAGCCTGTCCGCATTGTGTTGTTTGCGCATTTCCACCTTCCTGAAATTGCGTAGTCCGAATCGTACCGGGGTCCTTTACAGAACCAGGCCAGGGTATTTGTCGCCATAAGCACCAGGTATTCTAAAAGACTTTAACGAGGACCTGCCTCGACGGGTACTCAATATGCTTCTTATCGCGTCAATCATTTTTATGAGGTTGGTTCCTCAAACATCGGAAGCCAGATCAGTCTAGCAAAACTGACATACAATGGCGAAACGGCCTCCAACCGTGTAGCGGTCAAGGCCTCACCTCGTGGGGGGTACGTCGGGTGACCGTCATCAAATGCCAATCGTTCGCGATGGCAAAAAATGGGCAGATTGAGACGCCTCGACTGCCATCAGTTGTAGGCTCTCTTTCTCTACATATTATTGTGGTCTTCCATTAGGGCGTACACCTTATCAACTGTGATGTTGACAGGAGTGTGAAGAAACTGCACAAATGCAACCCTCCATGACAATACTTATCACCCTTTATAGGAAGATTTGAGCCAATTACTCAGAAACAATGATATCACACATCGGTTAGAGGTGTCAGTGATATCTCTAGACGGTTTTTCGAAACAAACTGTGCATACAGAAAATACCTCATTTTTTCGTCAAGCCCGAGAAGTATGCCAAGAGTGGGAAGTTTCCCGAAGTGAATCTCACCTAAGCGACATATTCCTAACTTGGGCAACGTAACAACGCTAACTTTCGTAGCCAATTCAAACACATGATAAAAATCAAGAAAGGAAATACATGTACGGCCTTCGAAAGTTTACGGTCTTAGTACCTGAACAGTATGTTTTAAAAGCACTGAAGTCTATATTCAC